TGACAGAATGTAAACACAAACAACTGACAGAATGTAAACACAAACAGCTGACAGAATGTAAACACAAACAGCTAACAGAATGTAAACACAAACAGCTGACAGAATGTAAACACAAACAACTGACTGAATGTAAACACAAACAGCTGACTGAATGTAAACACAAACAACTGACTGAATGTAAACACAAACAGCTGACCACTGGTGGGCAGCACTGATCTAAAAATTAGTTCCAGTAGCCCTAAAGCACAAACTCAAATATTTAGGTCCCCTAATTCTAAAGCACTAAAATAAGCCAGTCAACCCATGACAACAGGAGACACATGTTGTTGTTTATCTCTGACTCCAACAGCTGGATTGTTTCATATGTTCTCACCTGGTGGATCAGTGACAGTTTTCACCCTCAGCTGTTAATATTAACGTTGATAAATTACATTTACAGACCTCAGTTAGTGCTAATCCACTAATAGATTTAAAAAATAGCAAAAGCCCTAAAGCACTAATCAGGAAATCAGTTGCTCTTAGTGCTTTAGTGCTGTTTCAAACAGCTGATGTCCCGTGACCTTGCTTTGACTCCGCCTCTCGTCCTCAGRGCGTCCATCAGCGCCGTGTCCTGGTCTCTGACCGGGGAATATGTCGTCAGCGTGGACAAGAGTCGGCGGGCCGTCCTGTGGAGTGACATCTGAACCGGCCAATCCCGTGGCAGCTCTGATTGCCGTGGCGACAGGCCGATCTGAGAGCAGCTTCAGGAAACATTAATGAGTTGTTTTATTTAATTTGAATGACTAACGCAGCAGAAGGGACGTGACATGTTTGTGATGTTTTCTAACAGAATCTGTAACAAATTAATTTGAATGTTTTAAGTTTTTAAACTAAGTGAACTCAGGAAACAAAACGTTTTATTTGAAAACGAGTCAAACTTTMGACCAAAGTTTTTCCTTTTTAAACAACAGATGTTTTTATTTCAACAGAACTTTTCTCAACGTCTGAAAGAGACGTTTGTGAAACGGGTCAAAGGTTCAGAACTTTATGGGTTTTTAGACTGGTTCTGTTCCATAGTCCTGCTCTGATCCAGATGAAGGACCGGTCCGGTCCAGGTCAGTCCTGATGGTGTTAGGGTTTTGGATCTCTGCCTTTTAATGTAAGTTTAATGTAAAACAGATCAAATCCACAGAAACAGGTATTAGTTCTGGTTCTGGTTCTGATGTTTTGTTCCTAACACACGATGAGGTGACGGGTCCAAGCTGGAACACGTTTGTGGTTCTTGTATTTTCAGTGTTATTTATTTGTCTCTGGATGTTCTGTCTGTTTGGACCGTCGGTTCTGGTTCTGGTTCTGGGATCCTGTAACACATTAAACATGGTGTTGAACTAAATGAATTAAAGTGTTTGATGAAAACAGTCTGTGGACTTGATGTTTGATCAAACCTGCAGAACCTTCCAGAACCACAGTCTGATCACAGGACTGCAGGTTCTGACCCGAGGACCGGCTGGAGTTCTGTCAGCGGTGCTGGAGGACGAAGCGAGTCCTTCATCCTCGTCACTTATTTCTGTTCCTGCTGACGAACTGTTGAAGTGGATCAAACACCTGATGATGAGGAGGAGGAGCAGCTTCAGCCCTGCAGCCTGGTTCACACACACACACACACACGTTTTTATATCCTTGTGGGGCCCGTCCATTGACTTCCATTCATTTTTTGGTAATTTTATATCCTAACCTAAACTCACTTCACACATTGGTCCTAAACCTCCCCATGATTTTATTTATCCTTAAAGGATCCATGATTAGTTGTAACATCAGACTTTATTTGATAAACAAATATTTTAACTGTAAAATAAAAACTAATAATACTGTAGGATGTTTAGTAGATTTTAAAAATATATATTTTAACACGGACGGAGCCATTTTATTTGCACACAAAGCATTCTGGGTAAATGATGAC